AAAGTCACTAAAGGTATTAAATACATGTAGTGGAGTAAAGTACACCATGTACCTCTGAACTGTAGAGGAGTAGAAGTACACCATGTACCTCTGAACTGTAGTGGAGTAGAAGTACAAAGTAATATAACATGGAGTAGCATTTTGACAATTGTTCTTCAGTATTCCCATTTAATGCAACATATACTTTTACCTCTAAGTGTTGGAGGCAGATAAAGTCAGTCATGGTTTTTCCTGCAGCATTTGAATGCAGCATGTGTCGCTGGCAGACTAACCTCTCATTAAAGTGAAGGGCTGACATTACTCAGGGAAAACTAATATGTATCCTCTGCACAAACTCCTGCTTTGACAACACAGAGATTACGTTTTGAGAAGAGGAATTACATTATAAAGAGGCAGAGAGAAAACTATTATTCACAGTCAGTGGATCCTGAGAGGACAGCGCCTCCTGGTGGTGGAAGACATAATCCACAACATAATAAAGACAGGAACCAAAGAGTGAAGTTAATATGATTTATTAAAATCTTTACACAGTGAGTTAATTCAGGCGTAATACATGATCCGGATATATTGAAACGATATGACTGATTAAAGCATTTAAATAACAACCAATTAATTCAAACAAAACTCAATTAATAAGTTAGATAACACAGATTTATCTTCCCCCTCTGACACACACACACACACACACACACACACACACACACACACACACACACACACACACACACACACACACACACACACACACACACACACACACACACACACAGTCCTGTTCCCCAAAACACTTTCAAGTATCTTCTGCAAAGGTACGGAGGCCCAGGAGTGACAATAATAATTAAAATATTAATAAATTAAGGCTTTAATTGTATTACATTAGTATAGAAAGCATTACATTTGTAATATTTAAGACAAACATTAATACTTTCCAGACTAAAAACTACAGATCAATTTAAAATAATGTTTACGCTGCTCTTGAGTGATTTTTTTTTTTTTTCATTTTTTCTCAACAGGGCTGTTTCTAAAAGATATGAGTACTGTGGCGCTGATCTTGCTTATAAGATATATCAATTAGTAGCCGTGGACGTAAACAACAACAACAACAACAACAACAACAACGTGACGTCGGAGCTCCGTGTAAACAAAGCTGCCGTCTGACGCTCTGTTTGATACTCAGATTTCTGGAGGAATTATAAAAAATTTGAGGAACAGAAATATTGTTTTCTGGCATCACTTTAACATTTTACGGGAACAAATCTCGCTAGTAGTTATCGAATAGTATAACTAGTAGTTAACGACTAGTATAATATAAATGTATTTCTTGATTCAAATGAGAGGACATGCCCTTACGTAATCATCATTTCACTTCTTCCCAAAAAAAACGAAATTCATACCTCAGCATTCAACAAGTCATGCATTTGTGTGTTAATTAATCAATACCATGCCCACACGTTATTTAATTATTATGAAAGCTAATTTAACACGACTCAGCTCAATTCTACCTCTAAATTAAACATGTTTGATTTTTTGCTGTTTTGTCACTCCCGGGCCTCCGTAGTCATGAATAATAAAATTCCCAAAAACATAGTAAATATGATGTTTTACGGCCACAGAGAAAACAGCAACACCACGTGGATAATATCCAAAGTGCACGACGACACTCTGTTCTATTAACAGCCGACATAAAGGGAACAGGTGAAGGCACAGGAAGCTGAGTACACTTCTGTTAGCGTGATATATATTCACTTTAAATATGGCAGCGAGAGTGGAGTATTAATACAAAAAAAACATCATATTTCCACGATGCAAACTAACCGGAGTTTCCATACAGCGCCATGCGTCGGTTACAGAGATGCAGGTTTTCTTCTACGACATTCAGACTGCTTTGGTTTATTCCTAAAAAGGGGGTTATTTACAGTAAACCAGTGCAGGGGCAGGGGCTCCTTTTATTTGAAGAAACCGGAAGACCCTCTCGGAGGACCCATCAGCATGCGGGCCTGGTTCTTGTGAGTGATGTGGATCTGGAATAAGAAGAAAAGTCCCGTTTGTTAAAATATAATAAATTCATAAACACAATTCTGAGTTTTAGAAAAGCATTTAAAGCATAAAAAATGTGTGTTGTTGTTTTTAAACCTGGATTTAATTGGTTCAGTATTTAACGAAAGCTCTGAGATATATTGATATAATCAGTAATGTGGATATCATGACTGAGTGGTTCAAGCAGTTTGAATTCAGTATTTAAAATTGTAATCATCAAAATAAAAATAATTTAAAAAAACAATTAAATTCATTTCAGTTTACAAAAGTAAAATGTAAGAATAACAATGTTTTTAAAAAGGAAAGAAAATGTTTAATCATTTTCAAATATTCCAAATAAATATTTAATTAAAAAAAAATGCATTTAATTATATTCCAAAAAACAAAAAACAATTAAAAAGTTTAATTCATTTCTAAAAATAAAATAAAAATAAATTCAGCCATGAGAATTAAAAACACTTTAATATCACTAAGCTTTGTGGTTCCAGATCTGTTCACATCTACCGTTATTAATAATTAGAAAATAAAAAACTGTGAGTGTCATGTTAGTGTTCACCGTGCAGGGAGGCTGCATCCACGGCTCCCCGTCGATCTGCATCGGCAACGCCTTCTTCACCCTGAGGGAGCAAAAGATCCACAGCAGAGGGTCAGATCAACAGAGGGTCAGATCAACAGAGGGTCAGATCAACAGAGGGTCAGAACAACAGAGGGAAGATCCACAGAGGGTCAGATCAACAGAGGGTCAGATCAACAGAGGGTCAGATCAACAGAGGGTCAGATCAACAGAGGGTCAGAACAACAGAGGGTCAGATCAACAGAGGGTCAGATCAACAGAGGGTCAGATCAACAGAGGGTCAGATCAACAGAGGGTCAGATCAACAGAGGGTCAGATCAACAGAGGGTCAGATCAACAGAGGGAAGATCCACAGAGGGTCAGATCAACAGAGGGTCAGAGGGTCAGATCAACAGAGGGTCAGATCAACAGAGGGTCAGATCAACAGAGGGTCAGATCAACAGAGGGTCAGATCCACAGAGGGTCAGATCAACAGAGGGTCAGAACAGAGGGTCAGATCAACAGAGGGTCAGATCAACAGAGGGTCAGATCAACAGAGGGTCAGATCAACAGAGGGTCAGAACAACAGAGGGTCAGAACAACAGAGGGTCAGATCAACAGAGGGTCAGATCAACAGAGGGTCAGAACAACAGAGGGTCAGATCAACAGAGGGTCAGATCAACAGAGGGTCAGATCAACAGAGGGTCAGATCAACAGAGGGTCAGATCAACCACCTTAATGTCGGATTTAAATATAAAAGAAGACGCAGCATGCAGGATGATTGTGATGCAAAGAGCCGAGGATCA